TCTCATTGTGGTTTTAATTTGCATCTCTCTGATGGCTAGTGATGCTGAGCATCCTTTCGTATGTCTCTGGGCCCTGTGTATGTCCTCCTTGGAGAGGTGTCTCTTCAGGCCCTTTGCCCATTTTTTAATTGGATTGTCTTTCTTCCTGGAGTGGAATCACATCAATCTTTTCTAAGTGAACAAGCGACTCTATGTCAATGTTTTACGCGTAGGAGAAATTATATCAGCATGAACTTTATTTAGGATAGAAAAGTGCAACTTTTGTTATCAATATTTTTAAGTATCGTCTTTGAACAAGGCTCTGTAAAGTGAGCTGGGGAAACAGAGATATGAGATATAGTTGTGACTTCAAAGGAAGTTTCATTTTTCTCGTGTAGAAATTTGGTTTAAGTAATTACTATTCTTGAGTAATTACTATCTAATGTTTTCACGGAGGATATGTTTTTTGATGACAGATTAAGAAACTAATCTCTAGGTCTACAATCTGAAATTAAGAGAAAACGGTAGAGCCCATTTAAATTCTCCTTCCTATGTTGTATCAATCTAACTTCTGCTTGAGTCAAAGTACTTCATACCCCTTGTGCTGAAGACTATATCCTTCAGCTCAACATTTCTGTTTCCTTAAAATATAAAAACATTACTATACTTAAATTCAAATGCTAGTGGACAGAAAAAGATTTGAAGTTTATCAGTGTTCCTTGTTCTCAGAAAACCAGCCACAAGAACTGTCCAGGAAATCCTTTTAAGTGTGGTGTTCCCTGTTTGCTATGCACTCATGAAATCAGGACAGATAAAGACAGTGGATGCTAATAGTCACTTACAGAACGAATACTGAACAATAGAATGGCCCATGAATAGCTCATCTGATACTGTCAAAAGACAGAAATAATTCTCTTATTTCTATCATTGTCATGGATCAGTTGAATCTCTAGATAAGGAAATATTTTGATGTTGTTCAGTATTTAAGGTCTATGTGGATCAAAAACAACCTGTTTGACATGATTATTCTCACTCTGAGAAAAAGGAAGACCATTTGCTGCTCCTCAAAATGGAGCATGTTGGAGGGATCTAACCAAATTAACCTCTGGCTGGATTGTTTCTGATGACATTTGCAAGGGTGACTATGAAAAAATAGGAGGCTAGGCCAGGCTCAGGGTGTGGAGGGGCTGCCTGCCGTCAGTAGGTACAGGATTACATGGGGGTGTTAGATAAAGACAACCAGTGCTTGTGACTTAGCTCCTTTGACTCATTTTGCTTCACCTGTATGTACTTCACACAGGTAAGTGTATATATTCTTTTATATTGGACTAATTCACCACAAATGGGACTCTTCATGATGATTTTCCTTTTCTCCCACCTCCCTTGATCTTACATAAAGTTTCCTCCATATTTTTACTTGCAAAGTTGCTTTGGAATTTCCCTAGATGGGTCATGTATTCCTTAGTAGGGTTTAAATTCCACAAGGATGTGAACTGTGCCCCACTTCTCTGGCTTCCCCCTAGAGAGCTGTCCTCTGTGCAAACCAGCCTGTCTGGATCCAGTCTTTGAACCAATTTGGTAAAGGAACAAGAAGCCTATTAGAAATATCTTTTTATTACCAGAACAAGCAAATGTCTGAAACAATGGTACCCATATTTAAGGATGCTTTGAAATGGCAGGTTATAAAATGTTCATCATGAAGATTCGGGAGATTTCTCATTGCTCAGAGTGTCATTCTGTTTTGCACAAACAAAATTATTCTTTTGTTACTACTTCTTTCCCCTGCATTGTTTTGGTTTAGCATATGTGGAACTTACATAGGAGAGATATTTGTAAGCTAGGCTCTCACCCATCTACACTAGCGCTTTTCTCTCATCTGTTCCCCATCCTCTTCTATTTAATTTACTAGGGAGTGAGGTAACTTGAATTAGCAAAGCCGACTTCCCAGACCTCACTTTTGGGATTAATATGCCCCCCATGGAGAATGCATCTTTACTGACAATCTCAAAAATTGGAAACAATCAAATAATGACTTCCTTTATAATCAAAAATGTAAAACCTGTTAGAAAAATTAATATGCTTATCAGAGGTAACTTATTAAATGTCTTCTTAACTGCACAACTGTCTCCTTCTACCATGACTGATGGTGTGTAGACTACAGTTTTTCTTCGTTTATCTCCTATAGAGATTACACTCAACATTTGGTTTAGAAGACAGTTTTACAGATGTTTGCTTTAAAAATTGCTCAGAGTTTAAGGAGCTCTTTCTGGATAGTGTTGCTATCCTTTTCCAGCTGAGTAATCTTTTTTCCCCTTACTAACTCGTATCAGGAAATTTATTCACAAAAAAAGAAACATTACCCATCCATGATAAACATCCCTGAGAGCAGTAAGTAACCTTTACTAGAGCTGTGCACTCTTATGGAGATTATTCTATTTTCAGGGTTGCTGACCTTTTGCCTCCTTATTGGTTGCCATAGTGATGATCTGAGCTCTGCCTAAAAGAGCTTTACTAAAATGAGAGAATCAATCAGCTTTTTAACTGCAATGCTTATATGGATAGTTCCTAATAATATATATCAAAATAAAATGATTAACTAGGTGTTTATATGAATTGCAAGTGATTAAGTGTATTCTGTAGCTTTTTTAGAATTCCTTTGTGAGCCCATAAAAATATATATACACTTGAAATGTAAAGTTAAAAGATCATTGTGAAATGGAGAATAAAACTCTTTTATAAGCAAACTTCACAAGTTGCAAGCGCCATGGTTAATGATTCTAAAGCGAAGTCAAGTTAGAGAACTCGTTTACACCTTATTATAAGGACACTCAAGGCCACGCTCTCCTCGCATGCACCTGCCCAACTTCTAACGACTTCAGAGGAGTTCTGACACACTCAGGAGAAGGTAAGTTGGTGATCTGCCAACATTCACTAGGCAAAGTAAGAGAGCATAGATTATGTTTGTTTCCAAAGTTCACTTCACAGCTTTAAATCTTTTACTCATTGGTTGCAGATAGTCACCTGTTTTTAGGACTATAGTGAGACTTCCATGAACACAGTTTTGAGGAATTTGATTATTTTTTCCTTTAGCATTCAATAATATTTGTTTTCAAATGTCTCATTGAAATTGTAAGTAAAATATAAGTACATTTAATATAACTCCATGATTATCAATTACAGAGAAGGAAGTCTGAGCAACAGCTTAATTCACAAGGTCCATTGGCAGTGAAATTTGTCTAGACTCTAAGGTGCGGGTGTTATGCTATTGCTTACTATGCCTCTTCCCCAAATCTCTGTCTGGGGTGGAGAGGGGGAAGGTACAGTTTGCTCAGGTGCAATAGCCACATATAACCTGTTTCTCTCTCTCCAAAGCCTGCATTTTTATTCTTCTCCTTTATGTTTGAGAACCTAGAATTAGGTTAGGACTCCAGAACCTGTGCCCATATTCTTTTAAATATACCCCGAGGTTTATTGAAAAGAAAAATCAACAGACCTGATGGTAGGTCCTGGGGATAACATTAAATCGATGCTGGGGCTGGCCGTAGTAAATGAAATAAGGAACTATGGGCTTATTTCAAGTGTTTGAAAAACACAGGAAATATCTGACATCATAGATTTTTAATGCATTGCTGTTTTTTTCCCTAAATAAAAAAGATTTCTTTAATGTAGGATAACTTAAAAAAATTCGGCTATATGTGTTTTAAAATTAGAGTGACAGATTTAATTATATCCTTATGTTATTTGGTTTCAGTTATCATATTTATTTCTCTAAAACTAAAAATCTCATTCTTTACTTACTAAGAACAAAACCAGTAAAACTTTAAATGATTCTGTTATTCAAGATCTATTTATTGACCATCTACCACTGTGGACATGGGATATAGTAGGGAACAAAGCAGGCAGCGTTCTTCCCCTCACAAAGCATATGTTCTTTGGAGAAAATCAGATAATAGATAAATGACTATATAATGTGCCAGGTGGTGATAAGATCCAGGAATTAAAATAAAACAGGAAAAGGGTATAGAGAGTGAATGAGGAATGAGAAGGAAGGACTATTTTAGATAGGGTTGTCAGCCAAGACCATCATTTCCTGCCAGGATTATTTCATTAGGTTTCTAATTTGTCTCTTCGCTTTTACTCTTGTGCCCCTAGTGCCTTCACGCAGCAGCCACAGAGAATATAAATTGGATCATATTTCATTTGCCTGCTCAAAATCCTGCAACAGCTTCCATTTAGAATAAAATTCACAGTCCTTTTTAGCCTCCAAGACCCCACATAATCTTTCTTTTATGCTTCCCTGACCCCATTTCCTTCTATCTTTCTCCTCGTTTACTACAATCTAGGCCTCGGTTGTCCTGAACATGCCAGTAGGCGTCTAACTCAGGGCATCTTACACTTGCTCTCCCTCTGCCAGAACATGCTTCCCCGAGACACCTTCTGTTGTTGCTCCCTCATACCTCCTAGTGTGGCCTTTTTGGGCCATGTGATCTAAAGTAGCATCCACCATCACTCTGTGTCTTTCCTCTGCTTCCTTCCTTCTCCATAGCACTGATCTCCTCTTGCTGGGTGTGTGAGAACACGAGCACTGCATGAACAAGGATTTCGGCTCCCTCACCACTGCATTTCCACACGTGGAATGGTGGCCACATATTGCAGGAACTCAGTACTTACTTGTGACATGAATGAATAAATGTGCTCCAAGGATGGACTGTTGAAAAATGGGGAGAAAATAGAAAAATGTCAAATACTTGGAGATTTTAAAAAAGGTCCCTTGTGTGTGCTTTCTGTGATCCTAATTCTGCCTCCATCGTCACCTGGCATAACCATTCCTAGCTGCAGCCTAACCTCGGCCCCCTTTCCCCATCTTTGCTTATAACACAGAGCGTCTTTGCCAACTAACATAAGTGAACACTGTAACTGCATGTTATAGATGTGAAATTTTGGTGACTGCATCTCCAATTTCTAATGTATTTTATGTGCATTGATTTAAGGTCATGTTCTTTTTTTTTTTTTAATTGCAGCGTCACCAAATGCCCCAAAACTTGGACCCATGGAGCTGACCACTGTCATTACTGTGCCAGTCTGCCTGTTGTCTGTAGCTGCAGCGCTGACCATTTGGGCGTGCCAAGGTCGGCAGTGCGCACGCAAGAAGAAAAAGAGACAGAACGTGGAGGAGGCCCTCTCTGAATGCAATCTGGTAAACGCTGGAAAAACTCTGAAAGATCTGATATATGATGTGACCGCCTCTGGATCCGGATCTGGTATGTGCCCATGGTTCATTTTTCAGTAAAGGAACTCTTATTTAAAAATAAATAAAAACAATTTTTTTAACAAAAAGAGTCCCAATGTTATGAATTCCATCATTTAAAATGCTAGATATGCTACATGATGAGTTCTGATATAGAAGCTTGTCATAGGATTTGATAAAGAGAAAAAAACATCATGGCCTAAATAATTAAGTCCTTTCAGTTGGGTTTTGTGACTTTACGTATTCAGATTCTCATTCTGACACTCCTTCAGAATTTATTTCTGAAGCGAGAAAGAGTCTCTCTACTCTCCTCTCTTCTCCATTATGATTAGCAATGCTCATTGATGCTCTCCTGATAATGTTTCATGGGCACAAAAGAGTTACTGTATTTAAGGAGTTGAGTTCTGGGGAAGAGACCTCAGTTATGCAAAGAGCACCTTTGCTTGTGGTTATGAAGGTCTTCAGAATCTGCAGGCACCCTTCTGATGTGTGGGTGAAGTTACCAGGGAGCTGACCTGAAATCAAAGTCAAGAATATGTTCTTAAAGCAAAGTCAAGAATATGTTCTTAAAGATGAAAGGGGATATCCCAGCATTCCTGGACTGGCTTTTGCCGCTAAGGTTGTGTGATAATTCTCTTCTTCTTTAACGGAGCTTCAGAACCACTGGGGAGGCAACTCGAGTACCAGGCTGTGTTGTGGCCTAAATGAGCCTTTCTTGTAGCACAAAACATCTGAGAATTTTGGGGGTTTTTGGGGATGGAGCAGAGTTTTTCCTGTAATAACGAACTCCCTAAAATGGCAGCAGGCTCCCTGCTCTCAGATATACTTCCAGAAATCCTGTCAGCATGTGGTATTGCAGAAATGCAAACTAGGGTGAGCCTAGGTGAGCCCCTTCAGATACTCTTTTGTCCCCCTTTCTTTGGAAGCATCACTAAGGATGATTATCCCAAACAGATTTTAAGGAGCTCCCTTTGGCCTCTAGGAGCATCCAGGTAGGAACAGCTGACAGGGGCAGACGACAGAGGGACATTAGCATCTATGTGAGCATTCATATTTAACAGGATGCAGCTATGGACTCACCAAGGAAGCCAGAAAAGAGGCCTAATCTTGTCACCCAGGGAACCCAGATCGTTTGCTGCTTCTGGGGGCAAGGTCACCTGCCCTCTCCCTAACCCAAACCTCATTGTTTATACCTTCACTGCACCTCTTTGGTGGCATGTCTTCACTGGAGGAGTATTGGAAAAAATCTCCAAACTGCAAAGTTTATAAAACTGAAGTCAAAATTAAATTATCGGATAGAAAGAAGGCATTCTTTCCTCAAAAGCGAAGCTTGTTCAGGTTCAGTACCCTTTCCTCCCTTGAGTATTACATTTTGAGGCCCACTGTGCCCTAATTTTTTGAGCACCGGCAACATTCCAAGCACAGAATATGGGCACAGAGCTCTGATGTGTGCCAAGTTCCTTGAAAGCTTAAATAATTTCTTTTTGAGATTTGAGTGATTAAATAACCAGCTACTTAATCACCACCAAGACACTTCAGTTCATCTGAAATGTTAGGCTAAAAGGTGTATATTAGAGCAGCTCTTTGAATATATTTTATATGACCAAGGATTTTCCTTTCAGGTACATGTAATTGAGCTTTTATAACAGGAGACTGTATTAAGAAAGTAGTCATGAACCAGGGCATAAAATAAAAAATTAACGTTAAGTTTTCTACTGTTTTTGTGCATCTTTCAATCCAACCCTGGATTTACTGACTGCTGGACTCTCTGCTCTTTTGATTATGCTAAGATCTCTCCTAAAAAGAAAGTTATAAATGTGCCCACACATGGATGACTTTTTTAATGAGCAATTTGAAAGAGTTTTAGCTGCATATGCTTGGTAGGGACCTTGTCCTAAACTCAGTCGTGGAGGCACTGCCTCTGGTAACCAGGGATGGGTCCATCTGCTGTCAGGCTTCTGTCACAAATGCCCACCCCGAGGGAGGGAATTAGGCAGTTCCACTTCCCTCTGCCTCTTTTAATTGGCCAGTGTCCTTAAAAGAGAGGCAACTTGGTCAAATGTTGAGAAACAAAAATTGTGAAGCTTATCCTTGACCTGGTCAGGGACAGTTTTCAAAGATAAGTAATGCCTGCAAGAGAAGAAAATGGACTGATGTTTTCCTGGACCATCTTTGAGAGTGGATGGTGTCTCAGGTGGCTTCTAAGAGGCTGGGTAGGTCGCTGCTTTTCTCTCATGATACAACACTTCTGATGGATGCTGACGTTGTGAAAGGTACCTTTCCATCAGACAGGCAACAGGTCCTACAACCCCTATGAAAAAGAATAAAATGAACCTATGAGGAAAAGCAATGTCCATTTATCTTCAAATGAAGTCTCTAAGTGTCTAACAAGAATTAGGTTATGTTGGGTCATTGCTTTGAAAGATACTGAGGCAACTTTCATGGAGTTTTACTGTAGCAATTTAATTGCTATGCTGAGTACCTTAGGTAGTGTCTTTTTTTGTTCCTGGTCCATGGCATTGATCATGTGCTTGGTCAATTTGCAGTTTAAAAACATTGGCCTATCTAGTTCTCCAGCCAAATATTGTTGGGTTGTTGGTGATGTGTGTGTGTGTGTGTGTGTGTGTGTGTGTGTGTGCGCGCGCGTGCGTATGCGTTTGCGTGTAAACTGGAGGAGGGAGAAGGGAGATTGGAGTTGTGATTTGGCCAAATAATTGTTAGCACAGCTTTTATTGTATGTGGTCAAGTGGTAAAATTGACTGTAACCTACAAAAATAGCACATATAGTTTTTGCTAGAAATCTTCCCAACAGGGGAGCAATGTGTCATATCCATTAAATGACAAGGGAACAAGAGTTTGGACTGAAACCACTGTTTTAGTTGTGAATCTGCTTCCCACTAGCAGTTTATTCCTGGGCCAGTCCATGATTACTGCAAACCCCCAGTTTTCTCTTCCCCCAAATGATCAATTTGAACCAGATGCTCTAAGAAGAACTTTCTGTCTATGGAACTTTGTGACTAATTGTTGAGACCCATAATGGCAAACTTATAGCCTGTGCTTCTTTAGTTATGGTGGGTGCGTCTCACAATGATGAGAACATGTGAATAAACCATGACTCATGTCAGGAGCAGGGAGGGTCCTCCAGGAGCTTACACAGTTGTTGCTCTGAGGGTTTCCCAGCTGTTGAGTGCAATGACAACAGCTAAACATGACTTGCCAGAATAAATTATAATGGAACCTCTTTAACTATTTTCCTCTAATTATGAGTCATAAATACCCACTGTAGAAATTAAGAAAATGTACGAAATTGGAAAGAAGCCTATCACAACTCACCTCGATTCCACTAAATGGAAATAGCATTCAGCATATTTTCCCTTAAGTCTTTTTCCTGTGCATATTTTTAATAGCTAGGTACACTTATTTAGGTGGATAGAATTTATTGTGCTATTTTTATTTAACATAGCAAAAGGATTTTCCCATATCACTAAGAAATACCTCTTTATAAGAAACATCATTATTATTGGCTCTAAATAATTTGACCTAAGGTGTACTATTAAGGACTAACCATTATAGAGTATGTAACATGCTAGATACTGTGCTAAGTGCTTAACATGCTTGTTAATTCTCATAGTATCCCTATGAGATAGGTAATATTATCATCTCCTGTTTTTCAGACAAGGAAGCCAAAGCTCAGAGAAGTTCAATAACTTGCCTATGGTTAGTTACCACTGACAAGCTGAAATTTGAACCTGGGATTTTCTTATTTGTGCTCTTAATATCTGAACTATATTTAACAATTTTCTGTTATCAGATACTTTTCCTTACTTTTCCTATAAATAATAGTATATTAAACATTTTGACATAATTTTTGTTTGTATTTGCATCAAATCTTTAGGGTAGAGTTATAGAGGTAGAGTTATTGATCCAAAGAATCTAAATATTTTACATGTACTCTTTGAATATTTTTATTCCACAGAAGATATCCATTTGATATTTTCTATGACTATACCTTGCTTTTAGTCTAACATGATTACCTCACTTGATTGTTGCATTTGATTCCTCACTTTCCAATTTTAATTTGGTGTTTTCAAAAAAAGCTCAAAGAATTCTTCTGCAGTTCCAGTTGTACCAGGAGCCACATATTTTATTTTAAAGGCTAATAGCATTTTAAATACTTTTCTGTATTTAGTAATCGGACTGGCTTTAGTGCACAAATCAGGGAGATCTGCAGCAATTCTTAAAATCAGACATCTGCAGCAGCAGTCTATGTTCAAGAAATTTTTATTTGTGATATGAGAAGTTCATATTAAGAATTTAGAATGTTTTTTCAGCATGCTTTGAGATTTAAAGTTTAGTGTATAAAGGTGCTTATTTCTTCAAAATCAATAAAAGTATTAAAGTATTGAAATGTTTACTTTCTATGTGCAAATAATGGTCATCCCGACCGTTGGTTTCTGGCACTTAATGTTTTTAATCAACAATTCCATCTTTTCTTTGGTTAGGTTTACCTCTGTTGGTTCAAAGAACAATTGCCAGGACGATCGTACTTCAGGAAATAGTAGGAAAAGGTAGATTTGGTGAGGTCTGGCATGGAAGATGGTGTGGGGAAGATGTGGCTGTGAAAATATTCTCCTCCAGAGATGAAAGATCATGGTTTCGTGAGGCAGAAATTTATCAGACGGTTATGCTGAGACACGAAAACATCCTTGGTTTCATTGCTGCTGACAACAAAGGTATTTTCAATCTCATTGTTTTCACCAAATAAAATGTTATGTCTGTTATCAGATGAGAGAATAAGTCATCTTTTTGTTTTAGTAATCTCTATATAAAAGTCTAATTTCTTTATTGAGGAAAGAAAAAGCCTTCCTCTTCACCACAAATAAGTGTATATAACCATACGATAAAGCAGAGCAAACCTGTGATATGAAATCATGAGGACACTATAGCCAGGTTGATATTTAAAATATCAGCCTGATGACTGGTGAACCACACAAGCGGATCAGAAGCTTCAACTGAAGCAGAATCCTGGGAGAGTCCTGCCATTATGGGCTTTATCCCTTTAGTTGGTGGGTCACGAAGAGACGCAGAGGCATCCCGGTGTGTGTGCGTGTGTTGACGGGGTGGGGTTTGCTTTGGGTATCCAGGGCAAAGAATGTCACTGGGAGTTTTCAATGGCAGTTCTTAGCTAATCAAGACAGAAATACTTCAGTAGTTTGATAATTGATACAAATATATCAGTGAAAGCTAGCTGAATATTCACCTTTGCTAGGACTAAACTTTTTCATCTGCACAACAAGCTTAAATGCCGGGACTCGCGTTTTCTGTGAACATTACGGAAATGGTGGCAAGCAAGACAATTTTAGTGAAGTTTTTATTAATGTACTCTGAGTATGATTTATCTGGAGGTTTAATATTAACAGCCCCAAATAGTTTTATTTTTTGAGTTTTGTAGAACAAGATAGAGCATCAACTTTCTGGTATTTAAATAATATTCATAAAATACTGTATATATCCCTAAGTAATCAGGGACTGGATATAAATTTTGTGGATTACCCATGCTCTCTTTTCTCTTTTTGCATAGCTTTTACCCATTTAAATGTGTGATAGTTTCTTTACAAGGAAATGGAACAAATGTGAGCAAATCTCCAGTCGATTTAAAAAAAAAATACGAATCAGTAATACATGAACTTTGGGAGGTAGAGATTGTAACTTTTAGCTAAAAAACAAATTATCTCTGGATATCAGGCACCCACCAATACATATGAAAATTAAAAATCTATGATTATTTTTATCTAATATGATTGGGATCATGAAAATATTCATTATTAATTAGATGGCAAAAGAGAAGCTTAAAATTATTGTACATTTTGGCCATGATTATATTTGCTGATAACTTGTCTTATCTGATTTGCTTGAGAGAAACTGAGTAAAGCCAAGATGAGCTTAAAAAAACATTCTTTTCAAATTCTGTACTACATATTCTTTAAAAATAGATCCAGCCTGTTGAAAATGAAACATTTCTTATTAAACTGTTAAGAACTTCTTTTCCTTCCTGTTGTTAAGGTAAACTACCTACTGGTTAGATTAATTAGCCATGTGGTGAAGGCAGTAATGTCTGTAGTTATATGGATCTTCTTCATGGACTAATTTAATCATGACATTTATTGGATTATAAAACAGTATGTACAAGAAAGATCATTCTTGATTTTCTCTCCAGTTACTGGTCTACCTCTGTCAATGGCTTACTTGTCAGTGGCTTTGTGCCTGATTCCAAATGGTCTGTATCATCACTTTCATCCTCATGCATTTTTGTATCTCTTGCAACACTTACAGTTTCACTTTTTAGTCAACTGTCTGACAAAGACATTGATGTGAGAAGGCAAAGATAGCCACTGGTGTTAAGCTGGGAGAGAGGTGCGAATAAGGGTTCATTTTATATGAGGTCAGTTTATTAGTGAACTTTATCATGTTTTGTTGATTATTTCATTACTAGGAAATTTTAGCACTACTGTATTTGGGAATTAAATGTTTAGATAATGAGGAGCTCTTGTACATAAAACACTGCATAGAAAAATTCCTTAGCAAATATTCATTGTAATTTCATTTCTTTGAGCATCAGAACTGGTCAGGACTGCCCAGGCCTATTGTAGGCACTTTATCCTGAAAGCTAAATCTAACTCTAGGGATTCTAATAGCTAGAGAAGTTTTAGGCTAATTTCTCTTCTGCTAAAAATCTTTTATAAGCTCAATTAGCTTTTGGTTAAATGGGTGAATTATATAAAAATGTCTAGTTATTGTGTTTGGCTCTTAATAGAAGCTTTTGAGGGAAAATCATTAATTTCATATTTGAAAGGTGAATAACATGAACACTTTTAGAATGCTAGAGCTCCTTTAACAGGAAGAATACATTGTGTAAATTTGTTGTATTTCTGTTTTTTAATAGTGTAGTCTTTCTTAAAATCTCCAGAGTAATTTATATTACAACACTGAACCTAAGTGCATCTCTCAGTAGTTTCTCCTATAATGTGGTTGCTATTACCAGCAAGTTTTAATATAGAGGGAATAAGAAAGAGTTGCTCAGTTAGAATCACTGCCTCACAGCTTCCTGTATCTACGGTGGGTACATATAACACATGTAATATATCAACATCTTCAGAAACTCATTGAGAATTTTTGCTTTACAAACTCGAACTGTAAGCATTTTCCATGAAGGAATTAACTTTGCTTCGTTAACAATACAGATTTACTTTAAACACTGACATTTGTTAAAAGCTTTTGGCTTCTTTCTTGACATATATTTATAGCTACATTTTTTTTTCTGGTTAGATAATGGAACTTGGACTCAACTTTGGCTTGTCTTGGAATATCATGAACAGGGCTCCTTATATGACTATTTGAATAGAAACATAGTGACAGTCTCTGGGATGATCAAACTGGCACTTTCAATAGCTAGTGGTCTGGCCCACCTTCATATGGAGATTGTTGGTACACAAGGTATGTATTTTCATTCTATTTCTTTCCCCTTAAATAGAAAGATAGGAACACTAAGTTGTATCTTAGTGTTTAGTTGTATCTTACTCCATTGCAATTATCAAATGTAAAGAAACACTAAAGGTACTTTATAAAGATGAAGATTTTGTCATGATAGTGCCATCTCTCATCTGCATACTTGTCATTTTGTATATCATCCATAATAATATTTTTATTCCTGGTGACTCCATCTTTGCCATTTAGCCTATACACCTGGGAAATCTTGCTTTGGTGGCAAGTGCTTTATATTCAGAAAATACAAATAATTTAAATGTTTATCTTTGATAATTAAAATAATTGGAAAGGGTAATGTGATCTTGAAAACATATGTACATATTATGTACCCAAAGGCAAAATGATGCTCATTGTCTTCTATTTGTTAAGTTAATAAGGAATTGGCTCTAGAAAGTCTTTAGTCAGGGTGGTAGTTCCCAAATTTGGATTCATGATACCTTTACTCTCTTAAAAATTATTGAAGACTCCCAAAAGTTTTTGTGTATGTGAATTATGTCTATTAATATTTATTAGAACTAAAATTGAGAAATTAAAATATACTAATTTCCTTAAAACAGCAGTTATTTAACCAATTAAATAGTAAATACATAACAATTTTTAAAAATTTATCTAATTTTTTTGTAATACAAAAACCAGTCTAGTAAAAATTATGGTTTTGTTTTGCATTTTTTGTGAATCTCTTTAATGTCTAGATTTTCATACCCGTTCTTCATTCAATCTGTTCTAATATGCTGTTTCAGTTGAAGTATGTGAAGAAAAGGTGATATCGCACAGATATGTTGTTGGAAAACAGTCTCAAGGACCCCCAGGGATCTTTGGGTCACATTTGAGAACAGCTGATCTAGGTAGTAGAAGTTTGAAACTTGTTTTATAAGCGAATATTTGTGGTTTTTATGTGGACGTAATAATGCTGATTCTTTCCCTATATATTCAGCAAACATATATTAGTGGCTACTAAACGTTACCTAGTGATCTAAGCATTGGAGGCATGGTGATGACTAAGACCTATGCAGTGCGTAGTCTAGTTGGGAAAGACGAATAATGAAACATGCATATGAATAAACAAGACAATTTCAGTAGTGGTAAGAGCTATAAAGAAGGTAAAATGGGGTACTCTGATGGAGGATGACTTGGGATAAGGAATGGGTGGTCAAAAAGAAGACCTCTTTTAGGTGACATTTGAGCCAAGTCTTCAAAATCCTTTTGGAGAGATTCAATCTTCAGTAATGAAGAAAGTCAATGTGTTTTTCTTATGCTTCGCAGGTAAACCTGCCATTGCTCATCGAGATATAAAATCAAAGAATATCTTAGTGAAAAAATGTGAAACTTGTGCCATAGCAGACTTAGGATTGGCTGTGAAGCACGATTCAGTACTGAACACTATTGACATACCTCAGAATCCTAAAGTGGGAACCAAAAGGTGAGGTAACTTATTTGGGTAGCACAGTAAGACTTATGGCTGCCCCGTGAACACGAATGCCTGGGATGTGGGTGGGGAAGGGGCAGCAGGTCCAAATGGGAAATCATTAAGTCCAAGAAAGCAAGAAATCTCTGGGACACTGAGAAATTAGTGGTACAGTGGTTACAAAGCATTTTGCTCGTATAGAAAGTAGAATTTGGCCAGAGGTGAGGATTGGTGAATAAGATGGTGGTGTGTTGTTTTTAGTGTGCCACATTCTGGGAATACATTTTCCTACAGAGAGGAAGAAAAAAATGTCAGTAGCATACAGCTCCTCCGCAGCCTTTATACCTCATAAATGACCTGAAACTCAGAGCTAGTTCTATATGCTCAGGCTTTGAACAACAGATACAGAATCAATATAGTGGACTAGAGAGGTGAGGGACTATTAATCATATATACATATATGTTCTATTGTGTTCTCTGAATATTCAAAAATATTATATAATAACTTATGTATTTACCTGTAGTTGTATTTATCCTGAAATCTCCCAGATTGGTGTGTATTAAGATAAAAAGGGTTTGGACTCAGTTCCCACTTTCAAGGAACTGACTCTCTGAAAGTTAGGAACAAACATGACATAAACAGAGTATACCACACATGTCAGGACAGGCCCATTAGTAATGGGATGTCTGGTGTTTTCTTGTTATGGCCAGCCTGTGGCCGTAGGGCCAACATGCTTCCATTTCCTTTTATTTGTATTTCAGGCTCTGTGCCACTTTGACATAATTCCAGGTTTCTTGACCTTGAAATGAGAAACAACCAAAACATTTCCTAGAGCTGTTAAAGGCCCTTGAGGGCAGAGAATTTCTAAGCTGGCATAGTTGGCCTCCAAGCCATATTTGAGAGTCCAGGCCAGTCCCTCTGAGTCCTTCACTTGCTTCCTTGGAGACTTTAATGAGACCCCAGCAACACTTCAGGACAGTTTATTCAGACTGGGCAGTCCTAAGGGACTTGTTTTTTTTCCCTATAAAAAGCAATCTTTGACTTGCCCTTCTGACAGTCCCCACGTTAGGGACCCTCAGGGAAGCCTTGGATGCCGATTCCCTTAGGGGATATAAAACTTTTTAAAACAGTTTGGGATCATGCTGCTTCTCATTTGAGTATTCTGAAAAATTCTTAAAATCTTCCTAAGACAGCTAGGCTCAGTCGGGTCCAATGACCTGTGGATTATTTTGATTTAGTCCTATTAAAATAGAACTGTAATTTTGTCAGAGCCAATATATGATATGCACATATTGCTTGAAGCCAATGTATGATAAAATTGCTCCTTCAGAGCAGGTATTTGTGGAACACTGCTGGGCCCTGTGTTGGAGTTCCGGGCCACAGTGAATAAAACATACTCTTTGCCCTCAAGGAGCTTTCTTTGGCAGCAAGCTACTGGTGGAAATTGTTTCATTTCTCCTGCTGAGTGTCTGGCTTACTGAATCCTCTCCAGATTGTGCTTTCCAAGTGTTTGGCTCCTGGCGCACATGCTCTAATGCCGAGGGAATGACCTCTAGTTCTATTTAAAATATTTTAAAAAAATATGGTTGATTTAATAACTGTATTATTTCATTTTATTCTGTTATTGTGGTTCTGATCCACCTGTGAAATTAATGTAAGCTATCTTGACTTATATTTTATATCAGGATTTATTAAGATTGTGTTTTACTGGATTGCTATAAATTGATACACAGACTCTGAAAAGTGCATGTTTTTGAAGGTATATGGCCCCTGAAATGCTTGATGATACAATGAATATGAATATCTTTGAGTCCTTCAAACGAGCTGACATCTATTCTGTTGGTCTGGTTTACTGGGAAATAGCTCGGAGGTGTTCAGTTGGAGGTAAGATTTTGGGCGTATTCTTTCTGTCTGCCTTTCCTTGACATTCTGAATGCAACATATGATGTTCTATCTTTTTTTTTCCTAAGTGCTATTTTGAATTGTTTCTTAATATTTCAGAGACTACCTTTTGGCTTACATTTTAAGTGGCAAAAATGAAGTGTCCTGCATATAATGGAGATTTTATATTATGAACACTGCTTAGGTGGGGGTGACGGTTCTCCTGATATTCTAATTTCTATAATGACACTTTGCGAAGCACTTGGAACTTGTATTTGAGTTTGGTTTGCATGCAATTAGATGTATTCCTATTTTATAACAGAAATGAAATCCAAAGAAGTTCAATGGCTTGCCAAGGCCACAGGACTTGAACTGAAGTCTTCTGATTCTCAGGCTTTTCTTCTTTTCTTTCCTGTGATGAGGAAAGTGTGGGGGATAAAGTGGAGGTTGGAGGTGAGCAAAGACTTAAGTTCCTGACTCTGCTGCTCCTAGCAGTTTAGAGAGGAATAATGAGAGGAAGAATTTGAGAGGGTGAAGTCCTACAAATGCAGTGTGATGGAACTGCTGCATCAGTGAGAAAAGTAAATACTTTGATTAAATGGTATAGAAGCAGGGGTGTCCAACCCGCGGCCCTCAGGCCTCATGAGACCCAGGATGGCTGTGAATGTGGCTGGACACAAAATTGAAAATTTACTGAAAACCTTTTTTTTTTTTTTTTTTTGCTGATTACTTTTCATTAGTGTTTATATATTTTATGTGTGGCCCAAGACAACTCTTTTTCCAGTATAGTGCAGAGACGCTGAAAGGTTGGACACCCTGTTAGAGTTTTCTCTTTCAAGTGAGACAGACTTAGGACTTAAAACAGATGTGGTTTAGCAACTTCCTGAATATCTGACTTAGGCAAGTTACTTGGTCTCATTTTCCTCATTTGCAAAATGAAGAAATAATAAAACTGACTCCACTGGCTTTGGGAATTTAATGGATTAATTCAATTAATTTATGTGAAGCTTTTAGTACAGAGTATGCTTCTACTTAAATAGTCAATGAAAGAACTGTCATTATTAAAACACTGTCACTTTTTGCATTTTGTATTGATTCATTTTTGCCTTACATCAATCTTATTTTAAAAAATTGGAAAACTTACAAGTTAAAATTGTATTTGAATGAGAAAACAAACTTCCCCCATTGTTTATGGATGAGATAATAAAACATTCAGCAAGATGAAACTATTTGTAGAAGCAATCCAAATAGAGTGGTGTGGAACACAGACACTGGTCTCCCTGAGCCTGGGGTTCAGTTCCAGATCTGCCACTTACAAGCTGCGTGATTGTCAGCAAAATCACGTCTCTCTTTGTGCCTCAGTTTTCTTGTTCTATAAAATAGGGATAATATGATACTTTCTTTAGGCAGTGGTTTTGGGGAATGATTAGTTAAAAAATATAAAGGGGCTTAGGACATGCTTGGCAAATAGCAAGATTCAAACAAGTTCGTCATTATTTTTTAAAATTTTATTGATATTTGTCAAGATTTGCTTTTTGGTTTTTGTCTTTAAGTTTTCTTCAGTTGTCAGAATAGTAATGTAATCAACATGATTTGAAGTTCATTTTCTAATATTATGATTTATCTTAAATATTTTAAATTAAAAGGACTGTAGTTAATTCAAATGATTTTATAAGAAAATTCTCAAATTCAAGTACTATTCTGGTAATTGAGGTTTAGTCTTTGTCCATGTATTTGAGACTTTTTAAATATTAACCTTCATGTTAAACCATCCATCTTCATATACGTTGGTTGCTTCTTGGAAACAGTCTCAGGTATAGGAGTTCTAAAATCCAAATATAAGAAATTTAGCTTTTAGAAAATTGCCTAAAAATTTTCAAAACGAAAAAGCTGCTTTATTTTGAAAAATTTATTAATGAAATATAAATATAAAGTTATTAAAGAAATATACTTTATTGATAGAGCAATGAGGCTATGCTATAAATTTCATAATTAGGCATTTCTTTTTAATTGTATAATGGAACATTATGTAAATCAAAATTTCTATAATATAAATTATATTTTATATAATTATCAAAATTGTATACATTTAATATATTCATATAAAAAGTATTATCTAAAATAATTACATGTAATTTTTGTATAGATTATGTGTAAAATTACACACATTTCTATACTTTAAAATATTATAAACTTATATAATAACTATTCAACTGATTGCTTTAAATTTATACATTTAGTTTTATAGTGATAACATAGTTTTAATAAACCTGGCTTTCTGGTTTTCCATGGTGACATGTGCCTAGAATACTTAATTAGTATTATTTTAAAATAAGCATCTTTGTTTATTATTCACATTGGGATATTTATTGTGCAAATTTCTTACAGGAATTGTTGAGGAGTACCAGTTGCCTTATTATGACATGGTGCCTTCAGATCCCTCAATAGAGGAAATGAGGAAGGTTGTTTGTGACCAGAAGTTTCGACCAAGTATCCCAAACCAGTGGCAAAGCTGTGAAGTAAGGCTAAGTTCTTATGCATATGTTTTCTATTATAATTTTGAGGTACCTATCAGGGAGGATTGTCAGAGACCATACAGTTCCTCTCTTTTAATCCAGGCATCCAATTAATTTATTTCATATATGTAGGTGTATGTCTTTGATTTTATCCCCTTCAGCTATATATATTATATATAATGCTAAGTTATGGGGCAGTAATAAACTCTGACATCCCAGTGACTTTACACAACAAGATTTTATTTCTTGCTATGCAAAGTCCCCTGCAGGTTAGGTAACTTTTTAACAGCATCCGTGCTCCCTGTATGGTTCAGTAACCCCCGTGACTTTGGTCTTGGGTTTCTATTTCAACACACAGTTTTTAGGTGTTTAGGTCAAGAGAAGAGAGGAGCTGGAGGGCCCATTCATACTGTTGCAAAGGGTATAATTTTCTTCTTTTTTATGGCTGAATAGTATTCCATTGTGTAAATGTCCTAACCTCCTCATATTGTTTTAAATTTACTATTTGTTCATCAGAGCTTAGCATCAATTCCCAGGTTTGTGGTTTTGCTTCTCTCGTAGTATGTTTTGTGTGAGTAAAGTCTTTGATATGTTTCTCTCTTAAAGGCACTCCGAGTCATGGGGAGAATAATGCGCGAGTGCTGGTATGCCAATGGGGCAGCCCGCCTCACTGCTCTTCGTATAAAGAAGACTATTTCTCAACTTTGTGTCAAAGAAGACTGCAAAGCCTAATGATGATAATCATGTTAAAAAGAAGTCTCTTACAGCTTTCTTTCTCCTTTTCCCTCTATGTGAATGTTTTTTTTCCTTTTTTTTGTTGTCTACCTCAAAGATAATGCAGTTCAGTATTTAAGCTCAAAGGCAGCGTGAAAAAATAACTCTCAAATCAAGCAGGTGTTGACTTTATCCAATCATTATGTTGTCTTTAATATTTTTTTGAAAAGCAACGCATCAACACATCTATTTAATAAGAAAGCTATTGTAAAAGTATAAAATAAGCTACAAAAATAATAAATGTCATTTAGGCTTTATTTTACTTGAATCAAAAGCACACGAGTGAATGGAAAAATGTGTTAAGAAAAGTGAGATGAAAACATATTCATTAAAAATATGAACTATTTTATATCTAACCGAAACTTTACATCATAAAATTTATGGTATCCTTTATTTTTTAAAATTAAGTGGGATCTTTTAAAAAATTAAATATTGCTTCATATTTTAGTATACAAAACATGGAAGAGTGGAGCTGCTTAGTTGGAAGATGGAAGTGAGGTTGGGGTCCCACTCCCTTGGTCCCCCCACTTCTCCCTTCCCCTACTCTTCATGATCTATCACCACAGTAGTCCTGGAAGCAAACAGTTTGAAAGCCACTAAAGTTGTTACATCCTCTCATCTACAGATGAGATACCTGACATCCTGAGACATGGAGGAATGTGTCAAAGTCACAATACTAGTTGTAGAGCTGGCTCTAGGTCTAAATCTTGTAACAATCCACAACTGTAGAGTTAGTAGGCTTCCTACTGTCCTTTTAATTCCAACAGTACTTTTTTCCCCCCTGTGCCAAAACAACATTTTTCATAATGATATTTGCGGTTTAGTAAAAAAGAAGACAAATTGAGTTATTTTTCAGAATCATAATGGACCTGCACAAACTCTTAGGACAATTTCCATTGATGTTTTCTTCATAGAAAGTTCATAGTCTCCCTGTTTGTTAGATAAATATTAATGTTTTCTAAAAACTTCTGGAGAACAATCAAGTGTAAAGATCCAGTACCAGAGGATTTCTTTAAGAAAAGGAAAAGGAACCTAGGAGATATCTTGAGGAAAAAAATTTTTACAAACTTAAATGAAGTTAAACAACCAAATTCTACAGAGAGTATCAGTAACTGTAAATAGATATTTTCCCACTCTTTCAGAATGAGTGAATAGATGCAGAAGGCTTATGATAATATTGTCTTTATTCTACATCTTGTGAAGACAGACGTGATGAATTCTGAATAATACATGGAACATTAAATATTTCCTATAAAACTATAATTGTGCTTTGGTGAAGGAGTTTAACATGGTATCTTTTGTCATTCTAAAATATTGTTTTCTAAACTCCTTTCCATAGAAAAATCTTCTACTGAGACGATCCAAGACCAAAAGGTTTTTTTTTGATAGATTCTTGGAAGATGATAACACATATTAGTGTGTCTTGTGCTTTGAGCTGTAAAGAACTGTTACTTGGATTTCTTTATACAGAATTTGCCAAATTCTTTGACCATAGAACCCTTTTATTAAAAGGAGAGGAAACCTTTACCATCCCACATTTTAGTGTTCTACAAAGCACAACTTGCATAAGTGTTCTGAAGGATACACCTATATATTTTCATGTAGACCAGCAGTGCTTATAATTTGTTCCTCTGTGGAAATATGTTACTGAACCTCCATCTTCACTTGATTTGGATGAGATATCAAAGGCAAAAATCTGAAACATGTGATTTTTATATACTTTCATTCTCATTCATGCAATTGTCCATTCTCTAAATAATATGGGGCATCCCATATCTTCCTTGCCACAATATTGGGCCCAATAGGAAAATTCAAAGATGAATAAGTTCCACCTTCAGGAGTTTTAAAGTCTAATTTGGGAATGGGAACAGGAGCGTAGGTATGTGGGGAAAAAAAGGAAATGGACTAATAAATATAACACAAAATAAGATGTTTTGAGTTATATATGACAAATTACTTGCAATTTGCAACACATTTAGAAAGGACCTTTATTTGGCTATTCCAGACAATCTAAATCACATAATCAGTTTTAAAAATTGCATATGTGAATGATTTTTTAAAAAATTATGTAAGGGAATAATCTTGCTTGTGACCTTTATTTCTCATAGATTGTTTCTGCATATATGAGAATGAAATTATTTATTTATTATAGTTGTACTATAGTTTCAAATAAACAAGAATAATATTTCCTCTTTTATTCACATGTTGGGTGAGGATATTTTAACATCTCCATTTTCCTTGTCATTATGTTTATAATTTATTTGAGTGTGTCCAAATATAATTTCATATTTTCATTGGTTCAACTTTCACTCCAGAGAAATCTGTACATTTTTGAGATATTTTTCTTGTTTTTTTTTTTGTTGGCTAATTGTAATTCCTAACTGAATAGCCTTATATATTTTAATTCCCAAGTCCATTTTTTGAAAGAAAGGGGATAGATTCACAAAAATCATTAGAAAATGTTAAAAGTTCTAATTTTTTCTTAACTCTCAACATTATAAAGAGAAAATGCTCACTTACAAAAATAGGATGACGTTTAGAGTGTTAAGGCAAGTTGACTGTATATATCTGTGTTGTAAAACTTCATATAATTTGTTTTTGATGGAGTCCTTTTGTGTAGTATTTATTTTTTTAATTGTTTTTAAAACAAAAAATATTGTTCTTAGGCTCAAAGTGAAAGTGTTCTCTGTGCTTTCAAATATTTTTGTTTTGGGTATAATATGAAGCTTGGGTAAATGCTATTTATGACATTTCAGTACTGTATAAAGTGGTGATGGAATACATATGCAGCATCACTTCCTTAAAATAAGGGAAACATTATTTGTTGTCAATAGTTCAGCATGAACTTGTTGCCTTATAATCTATGTGTGTAGTTAGTACAGATTCTGTTTTGTGCTTTCTCCTATGTCTAAAATATTTGTCATGTCACAGTTAGAATTGTTAATTTATGTTCTGACTTGAAAATTAAGTGAAATATGACTATGTCATGCATTAATTTAGGTGTAGCACTTGCTCTTTGTCTTTGCACTTTCAATTAACTTTGCATTTTAAATTCCATGATTGTATAAAAATAGTATCCTGATTGCAGTGTCTGAAGACTCAAAAATAAGCTTTATTTTAAAATGAAGATCTACAATAGATTCATTTAGGTTAGATGTTTTGTAGTAATTCAGTTTTTACTTTAGTAAAATCACTAAACAAAATGAAACAAAACTACGGCTATGCTGGAATTTTGCCACCATGTGACTTATGTGGCAGAGAAAGCTCAGGGCTATCTTAGAGTTTACGCAAGAGGACCAGGGCACCTACTAGCAAATCATCTGAAAGCAGGGAGCCCATGTTTGCCATTATACAAAGCTCAATGTAAAATTGTTTTGCAGGAAAGAGTTTTTGATTAATTATTTAAAATAAATATGGAAATGTATTTTGTTTAAATAAATTTATTTAAATTATGGACATTTAATCCCATCGTGAAATTAAGAAAGTAACTACTGTACAGTTGATGGCAGTTGATGTCTTCAATAAACATTCTTTTAAATAAATTTACAAGTACAACAGTTTAAGTTACTTGGAAATATTTCAGAATTAGTATCTTAAGATGCTGTTTTTGTGGTCTTTGAAGATATTCTAAATATCCTTTGTGAAACATACTACTTCTATGTTTGACAATGCTTTGTATTGGCTCCCTCCATAAATTAATATCTAAAGTGGACTTTATGCATTATTTAGTGCAGACAGTAATCTTTTTGCTCTCGAGAGCTTATTCTAAACAGAAAAAAAGTCAGCTGTAAAATTAAAAAATTATTAAAATGTTAATGTTAAAAATTTCTATAATGTAGGCAGTTTTTCAAAAATACTTCAGTGCAAATTTTTAGATATTTGACTTCCAGTTTTCTCTTTAGCTTTTCTGTTATGTTTCATTATTTTTCTCACCTCCTTTTTCTTCAGTCTTCCAAAATTATCTTTAGCCCCTAATTTTAAATAATAACAGCTATTCATTTAATCATCCTAGTGCTTAACCGTCTAATGATGGAGAATCTCTTGGTGGTCTAAATTATTTCAGGTGTGTAACAGACAAAAACAAAAACCAGAACTTGGGATTTGCAAAGGACATAAAAGGTTTTATAATTTAGTCCCCATATTTCATATATGAAGAAACTAAGGATCAGAGGTTAAATGATTGCTAGTTATTATCAGAACTGTTACGAGACCCCAGTGGGAACAACTATTATGTGCCCTAACATTTGCTAATTTAAAAACAATAAACATACATCTAAACCTACCTTAATGTATACTGCATTATGTGCCATTTAATGATGATGATCAAATCCTACTTTTTATTTCTGCTGAAGTAATTTTGCTCACTCATGGTGAGGTCAGTGAGAAAAACTAAAATAGTCTAAGGAAGAGTTTTAATTAGCTAGGTAGTGCTGAATAAAATTTAGGAATTGTGAAAATGTGGAATTTCTTAGTGCAAGTAATGATAAAAGATGCTTCATAACTTTTTTTCTCTCCTTTAAGGCTGTTGTTTCTCTTTATGCATTTAGATGGGAGTGAAAGATGATTTGGTAGTTGAATTTGGGACCATGTCTATAGCATATTATCTATTTCTCTCCTAGCTTCTCATTAGTTTATCTTTGGCATTCAGGTTTTTTAGTACATTAAAAAAACCTTTGCTGAATTTCCTCAATTCTAAATGTTCTATATAATTTCTGTTCTTGTATTCTAGCACCTGTCAGATTGCTACACACTGAACTTCTTAACAAGTGTTTAATTTCCCATACCTACATATGAGAGGTTGGATTTCATGCTTTCTCTAGTAATTTTTCATTTGGCATAATGAAGAGGGTGTTCATTAAAGGCAGAGAAAGCTTTCTTTTAAATTTTAAAAAGATCAATCTAGTTATAGTCTAGTTTTCAGGAAATGTATAAGGAATGTATCTACATTTGCCTTAACA